TGGGTGGCGCAGTCGGTTAAGCGTCCGACTTCAGCCAGGTCACGATCTCACGGTCCGTGAGTTCGAGCCCCGCGTCGGGCTCTGGGCTGATGGCTCGGAGCCTGGAGCCTGTTTCCGATTCTGTGTCTCCCTCTCTCTCTGCCCCTCCCCCGTTCATGCTCTGTCTCTCTCTGTCCCAAAAATAAATAAATGTTGAAAAAAAAAATTAAAAAAAAAAAATAAATAAAAAAAATAAACATTAAAAAAACCAAAAACGTAATCGCCGCACGCAGGGGGAGTGTCTGCCTGCTGGCAGTCAGGATCTGGCCCAAGGGCCCTAGTTTGCTCACCCCCAGTCCGGGACACAGGTCTGGACCCGGGAGTCTTGTGAGCGGTTAGTCACAGATGTCAGAGGCCCACCTGCTGGGTGGTCTGTGAGGCTGGGGCGGCCCTGGTGGCTGCTTGCCTGCCTGGCCCCCCGTCCCTCCCCCACCCCACACACCTCCTCCCTTTTGCAGCTCCTCTATGGGGACCCTGGTGTGGGTGGCTCTGGGGGGGCTTTTCCAGGGGACCAGCTCCTCTTGGGAAGCCCCTGTTGTTCCAAGTGGCTGTCCTGCCCGGTGGGAACGAACAGACGCCCCAAGCCTCACGCCCTGGCCTGACAGCTCTGGGTCTGGGCGAGACTCCAGGGGCCTGGGAGTCTCTTCGTGACAGCGGGCACTTCGAGGGGCGTCGCCAGACCCCAGAATGGATCGGGGTTGCTAGGAGAAGGCCTTGGGCTTGTGGACGGAATGTCCACGCGACCACACTTCCAGGCCCGCGCGTCCTGGGGGATGGGGGGCAAGGACGGTGCCGGGCCTCACGAGGCCCAAAATGGGATATTCCCATCAGGCACCGCCTCACACTGGCTTTGTGCCAACTGGGCCGTAGTCTTTCCGGGAGGGCGGGCCCCAAGGCCCCGCGGGGTCTCAGACATCCTACAGATGAAGCGAGGGCGTGTGGGCGATCCTAGGCCCCGCTGGAGTTTTCACGTTTTCCAAAGTTGTAATGATGTTTTACACTTAAATAGTAAAAAGTTTTTAATCTGTAAGAATTACACATCACTAACCCTTGACTCTCTTTTTCACCAAGAAGTAAGAATGTTGTGCTGTTGGGAAATTGGGTGTCCCCCACGCAGCACGGGCTTGGCGGCTGGGAATCCCGACGGCCACCTGACTGTGCCCGCCACCTCTAGCCCCGGGCGCGAGGGCCTTACAGCCCGGCAGCCGCAACCTGTGGCAAAGCACCTACGTATGCCTCTGAGCTTTTAAAGAGGAAACGATCCCAAACCCTGGTTTAGTTGGCGCGGCCAAGAGTACGTCCAGCAGCGAAAACAAAGCGGCTCCGGTGAAGACTTGGCTTTCAGGGAGTTGCAGGCCTCGGGGGCCGAGGCTGTGTCACTGAGAGTCTTGTCCGCGTGCGCCTGCCCGGGGTGAGGGCTTGGGAATGGACTTGGCGTCGCTGCGAGTGCATGTGGCAGAGACGCATGCGTGACCCACACCGCGGTGACGAGCGCCCGCTTGCATGGTTTGGAGGCCGGAGCAGTTGAGTGGCTGTTCACGTGCGGAGGGCACCTTGTCAGAAGCCAGCCCCCCGTGGTGTTTCAGGGGCTCCGGTCACTGACGCCCCGTTCCCACCGTCATGTTCACGTTGCAGATAAGCCCGACGAGATTGTCCCAGCCTCCAAGCCATCCCGCACTGCTGATAACGTGGCCGTGGAGTCCAGGGTAGCCACCATCAAGCAGCGGCCCACCAGCCGGTGCTTCCCATCCGTCTCCGACATGAACGTGAGTGGCCGTGCCCCGGGGAGGCGGGCGGGCCGTCCCTGCAGTGACAGCTCACACCTACGGTAACACCTGGAAATGTCGCCCGTTGCACAGGCCAGCCTGGTGTAATGCACGTTAGAACAGACCCACCTGCTGGTGTGGGACCCCCATCCCCGCCAGAACCCTGGGGCTGGGGCGGGGGGGGGGGGGGGGGGGGGGGGTGGTAATCCCACAAGCTCTGGGCCGCCCCACTGCGGGGTCAGCCCCCAGCCCCAGCCCCGTCTCCCCATCCTCACTGCCCGCCTTGTTTGTGGCCTCTCACCACATCTTAAGCCCCATGTGGCCCAGACGCTGTCTGGCCCGGCCTCGGGCCCCAGGCAGACGGTGCTCTAGGAAGACAGCCTGGGGCCCTGAGCACAGGATGCCAACGAGCTGACGCTCACGTTTCCACCGGGCTCAGCCGCCTCCGGTGCCGCCGACCGGGGGGCGGCCAGCAAGCCCAGCGTTAGAGACGAGGAAGCGGCGGGTTGGGCGGCGGCTGCACGGGGAATCCGTTTCCCAAGTGCACGAGGGAAGCTAAGCTCCCCTGGGGCCAGCCCACCTGCCGCAGGTCCGTGCCGGCGCCACTGGCCTCGGGGCTCCAGGGCAGTCCTTGCGTTTGCTCACCCACCCCCCCTACCTGGCTCACCCTGTCCCGTGCCGTGAGTCGGTGTTCCTGACCCATCCTGTGGAGGAGGGAACCGGAGACTCCTGCACTGCCCACCCGCTGTGTGCGCTTTCCTACCGAGCGTCTGCCGGTAGACGTGTCGGCCAGTCCACGGCTCCACGGGGCACCCTGGCATTTAGAGGCCAGGAGCCGCGGGGGGTGGGGAGTGCCCAGCAAGAGCCTCTTCCGGCTCCCTGAGGCTGGTATGTCTTGCCGGCCTCGGCTGGACACGGCTTGCTCCTGGGGGGGCAGCACGGGAAGCCGTGTGACAGGTGGGCACAGGTGCTTCCGTGTCACCCTCCGGGCCCGGATGCCCTGGGTGGGGCTGGTCGGGGCTCGTCTCACTCCGGGGTCTCTGGTTTGCAGTCCGTGTACGAACGACAGGGGATCGCCGTCATGACGCCCACTGTTCCTGGGAGCCCGAAAGGCCCGTTTCTGGGCCTCCCCCGAGGTACGATGCGAAGGCAGAAATCAATAGGTAAGAAGCATGGCCTCCACCCACAGAGGTTGCCCCCTGGCTCTCAGAGAAGCCCTCAGAGTCCCCCAGGCAGAGCTGCCCCCTGGGGCCCACCCACCGGGGGGCCCTTTAGACCCCCACACAGACTCAAACTTTTCTACCTGCTGGAAACGACATCCAGCCTCGCGGGCCGAGCGGGCCGTGCTAATGCCAGCGGGGTGACAGGGCACGCGCCAGGAGGGAGGCGGAGGGTGGCCCAGGGCAGCCTAGGAAGCCCCCCCACCACTGCCCTGCGGGGACCAGAGTGGCAGGTGGAGGTGGTCGCCCGCTCAACGCGATCCCCACGTCCCCCGAACCGCCCGGTCCCTGCCACGTTTCAAGCGGGTGAGCTCAGCGGACACACTTCTAAGGGTGGTTGGGCCACGTTCTAGCACGCCGACAAACTCAATGTACTGCGTGTCGTGGAAAGCCGCGTGCCTTCTTGTTAATGCCCCAGCGATACCTACGGGCACTTCCGGGCATGGCGAACGTGACCCTGCCGGACAGCCCCCTGTGCGATAACCCGACGCTGTCTGTACCCTGTAAAGCCTCAGAGGAGCTGGGCCACTGCCGGACCCGGCTGGACCCGGCGGCCCCAGGCCGGCCCTCGGGGACGCTGCGGGTGATTTCTGGAAGCGCCTCCTGTTATTGGAGGCCTGGCTCCTCGGTCACTAGCGTGAGGTGGCTCCCAGTCCGCTGCTCCTCAAACCCGCCCTCCCCAAGAGCTCAGGGCCACCGCCGAGTAGCGTAGACGCCACTTTGTGCGCTGGCTCTGTTACTGCTTAATAACAATTCATTTCCTCCTGTCAGACAGCAGAATCTTTCTATCAGGTTAGTGAACCTTACGCTTCCGAATCTGTAATCTGAATGTAACCCCTATACTTACTCCTTAAGGCGTATTCTTAAATTACGACTCCTTGGGAAAGTTGTCGGGCGACCCACGTGTTAGCGACTGGTCGAGAAGGCCTTTTAGAAATCCGTCTGTTTGATGCCAAAACGCCCTCCCACAGGAGTACGTTAAATTGGGAATACCCTTATCGAACGGAGATTTTCATTGGAATAAGTTACCGTAGTTTGTCCTACAAGTTTTTTGATTTGAAGTAATCCATTTTGTTACCTCCTTGAGCAACCCGCA